TTCCCGCACCCATATCCACCTTCGTGTCTCGAAATAGTACTTTTGATATGTATGTGGGTACGGATGTCAGTGGCTATGGGTATGAGTTTGCTACCATTGCACAACCACACCATTCACATTCACACCCATATCCATACCCACACCCACACTCACATCCACACCCTTTCATGAGCTCAACACTTATGCAAAGTTTCATCACTATCTCATGTACTCTGTCGAAATTAGATTTTTGAGGGAACTCTTTAATAAATGTCGAATAGTTCGATTAATCGTAAGATTTTAATCAAACATGAGAACCATTTGTAACGTTTTCTTTTCATAATACTCGTAGTCTGATGTTCAGATGCGATAAAATATCGTAATATGAATAACAGAGCCTAAGTTTGTAGAAATATACGAATACAATAATCTCTAAACTAATTATATAGTAGCTTATAATAAATATGAATGTTTCACAGTGAAGATTGCCAATAACGAACAGAAGAAAGAGTTTCAACTTGAATATAGAAAACTAACACGTTTGTATGAGAACTTTTAGATTATCAGTGCCCTCGTTAGCTGTCACTAAATCTAGCTTTCTGTCATTATTAAAATCGCCAACAACAACAGAAAATGGAAGAGTTCCATAACCGATTGTGAACAATTTTGGATAGGCGAAATTGCCATTACCATATCCAAGAAGAACGCCCACACTGTTCGAACCATGATTGGCAACGATAATGTCTAATAAACCATCGTTGTTGAAATCAGCGACTGCAACTGAGTATGGCTCAGAATTAGAGCCAGTTGAATAGGTCACTTGATTCGCAAAAAAACCATTACCATATCCTAAAAGAACGCTTATGTTGTTGTCCTTAGAATTAACGATGACGATATCCAAGTTGCTATCATTGTTGAAATCACCAAAAGCTAAAGATTTTGGACTTTTACCCGTTGCACATGTTAGTTGATGTGAAAAAGAGTTATTACCATGCCCAAGAAAAATACCCACATTATTAGTACTTGAGTAGACAACAGCGATATCCATGTTACCATCATTGTTAACATCTCCAACAATAAACGATCTAGGTCGAGAACCATTACCAATTAAGAGTACACTTTCTTGTACGAAAGCTTCATTGGCATATCCTAAAAATAGAGCCACATTGTTGCTTCCCTCATGGGTAACAACGAAATCCAATCGAGTATCATTGTTAAAATCACCAAAAGCTACGGATAACGGTAAAGAACCTGTGGCATATGTTATTTTTTGAAAAAAAGAACCGTTGCCATATCCAACGAATACACTCACAGTATTATCACCACTATTAGCAACGACAAAATCCAATTTAGCATCATTATTGAGATCACTGACGGCTACAGACTCTATAAAAATACTAGTGAAATATTTCATTTGATTTTGAAAAGATCCATTGCCGTATCCGAGAAGAACACTCACACTCCCATCATACTTATTAGTGACGACAATATCCAATCTTGTATCATTGTTGAAATCACCGACTGCTACATGTTCTGGAGAAAAGCCAGTATCAAATGTCCCAGAATTTACAAAAGAACCGTTACCATATCCAAGAAATAAACATACATTGTTATCATTGGCATTTGTGACGACTATATCCAATATTTTGTCATTATTGAAATCACCAACAGCTACTCCTTGTGGATGAGAGCCAGTAGAAAACTTCATTTGATTTTCAAAAGATCCATTACCATATCCGAGAAGTACACTGACATTGTTATCATGACTATTAGAGACGACAAGATCCAATCTTGTGTCATTGTTGAAATCCCCAACCGCTACAGACTGTGGATAAGAGCCAGTGTGAAACTTTACTTGATCTTGAAAATGACCATTGCCATATCCGATGAGTATACTCACAGTGTCATCACCTCTATTAGTGACGACAATATCCAATTGTGTATCATTGTTGAAATCATCGACTACTATAGACTGTGGAAAATAGCCAGTGTCAAATGTCACATGATTTTCGAAAGAGCCGTTGCCATATCCCAGAAGTATACTAACGGTATTTGCAGGGCCATTGCTGACGACGATATCCAATTTTGTGTCATTATTGAAATCACCAACAACAACCGACTGTGGTCCACCACCAGTTAAATACGTCGCCACATTTTTAAAAAATCCTAGATCATATGCAACAAATATACTCACAACTTCAGTATCATCGTATGCAACAACTATGTCGAAACGTCTATCATTATTGAAATCACCAGCGGCAATAGAGATAGGAGTAAAATCCGAAAAGATATCATAGCTTTTTTGACGTAAAAACGTTCCATTCTCACTACCGAGCATTAATTCGATATTTTTCGTACCTGAATTGGTCACTGCAATATCTAATTGAGCATCATTATTGAAATCACCTATAGTCAGTGAAGATGGACGAGAACTGAGACCCATTGTATATAACATCTGAGTTCCAAAAGTGCTATTACCATATCCAAAAATAACACCTACGTTGTCAGTACCATAATTAGCAATGATAATGTCTAGTCGATAATCATTGTTAATATCAGCAACAGCAACGCAACGTACACGCGAACCGTCGCCAGAGGCAAACAATATTTCCTTTCCCAAACCTCCGATGTTATCGTAAAGCAGCACATGCACTTGATCGTGCCCGTAACCAGTCACAACAATATCTAGCTTGGTGTCATTGTTGAAATCACCGACAGCTACTCCATGTGGACGATAACCAGCAGCGAACACTTTTTGATTTTCAAAAGAACCATTTCCATATCCTAGAAGTAGACTTGCAGAGTTATCATTATAGTTAGTGACGACAATATCAACTCGTTTGTCACCATTAAAATCAGCAACAACTATTGAGGAAGGATAACTACCAGTGGAAAAGGCCATGCAATTTTTAAAAGAGCCATTACCATATCCGAGAGATACACTAACAGTGTTGACACCGTCAAAATTTGTGACGACAATATCCAACCACTTGTCATTATTGAAATCACCGACAACTATTGCACTCGGTCGAGAACCAATGAAAAATGTCATTTGATCTTCAAAATATCCATTCCCATATCCGAGAAGTACACTTACAGTTTCGTCATAATTATTAGTGATCACGAGATCCAATCGAGTATCATTATTAAAATCACCGATCGCCACAGATTGGGGAGAAGAACCAGTAAGAAATGTTTTTTGGTCTTTGAAAAAACCATTACCATATCCGAGTAGTACACTCACAGTGTTATCCTCACTATTAGCGATGATGAGATCCAAGTTTGAGTCATCGTTGACATCACCGACAGTTATTCCTTGAGGACGAGAGCCAGTGCAAAATATCATTTGATTTTCAAAAGATCCGTTCCCAAATCCAAGAAGTACACTTACAGTGTTATTATCACTATTACTGACGACAATATCCAATTTTGTGTCATTGTTGAAATCACCTAGACCTAATCCGTACGGAGATGAACCAGTAGAAAATATCATTTCATTTTGATAAGAACTATTGTCGGATGTAAGAAGTATTGTAACACTGTTAGCAAAAGGATTAGTAACAACAATATCTAGCCGTGTATCATTATTGAAATCAGCGACAGCTACAAACTGTGGAGTAGATCCAAGAGGATAATCATTTTGGCTTGAGAAACCCATGTCATAACCAAGAACAGTACCTATACTGTTAGTATCATCATTTACAATGACCATATCTAATCGACCGTCGTTGTTGAAATCGTCTAGGGCTATTGCTATCGAAGAAGTCGATCCAGTGGAATACAGTTTTGGACTTGTAAAAATACCATTGCTATTGCTGAGAAGTACACCTATATTTTTAGTGCCTTTATTAGTGACAATTATATCAAGTTGATTGTCCTTATTGAAGTCACCAGTAGTCAATGAATATGGTGAACTACTACCTAGTGAATATGTTTTTGGTTGTGTAAAAGTTCCATTGCCATAATTCAGAAGTACATCCACACATTGTTTTCCATAATTGGCGACAGCGATATCCATTAAGTTGTCATTATTGAAATGGGCAACAATAACAGAGTATGGATGAGAACCAGAGCCTGTGGACAACGTCTTTTCATATGTAAAGTTACCACGACCATCTCCAAGCAGTATGTCTACATTATTTGTACCTGAATTTGCAATGACAAGATCTAGTTGGTTATCATTATTTAAGTCTCCAACAACAACTGAGAACGGACGTGAATCATAACCTGTTAAATACATGACTAGATTTGAGAAACTTCCATTTCCATGTCCTAATAGAACACTAATACTATCTGTACCATAATTTGCAGTGACAATATCGAGTAATGTATCGTTATTGAAATCTGCAATGTGTATCCACAATGGTCGTGACAAACCAATTGAAGTCAAAATTTGCTTTTCAAATGATCTATTTTCATATCTAAGAAAGACTCCTATGCTGTTAGTGCCGAAATTTGCAACAGCGATATCTATCTGATGATCTTTGTTGAAATCACCTACTGCAACCATATATGGAGAAGAACCATTACCAGTTGAATAACTTTTTCGATTTCTAAAAGTACCATCATCATGGCCGAGGAATACGGCAATTTCATTAACAGCATGATTTGCAACAACAATATCTAACCATGTATCATTGTTGATATGGCATACAGCGACTGATCGAGGACCATAATTATATTTGATTGGATTTGACATTGTTGATACGAAGTTGAGTTCACATTTTTTAACTAAATAAAAAAAAACATGTTTCAAGGTTCAATGTATTATTCGGATATAACTATTCATGTTGAATTGTTTCATATTATTGGATGCTTGAATTTCAAAAGTATACTAGCTAACACTATCAAATTAGTATACTTGGATGCAATTCCATAGATTTTCATATTGCTCAGCTCAAATAAGAGATGAATGCATCAATCAACTGATTTATCGAGTCATTGTTGTTCATCTACTTTGGAATTTTATGACAAAATGTATCATTAATGACAAAAAAGAATACTACGAACATGAATCCTAATATACGTGAAACTAGGATGGATGAAATTCAATTTTCATTCGACCAAACGATTAAATAGAGATACAGATCAAAATATAACTACAACACAAATCCGAATATTCTTCCGAATCATTTCATTCACAGTATTCAATAACAGTTTGAAGTGGTAAGAATAATTTTGATTTCATGAAACTTCTTCAAAAAACGACTTACAAATGTTTCTTTTATTCAACTACGTTAGTAGAGTGATTTATGTTTAACATATATTTTCCTTAATTTCATAAATTTCTGAAACATTAACTAATAAAAACTACCGAGAAAAACTCAGGCTTCATAAATCAGTTATTTACCAACTAAGCTACTCATATGATATTTGTAACTCGAAAAAAGCCTTTTCTTCAGTTAGATACGTTCAAACACTGTTAGCTATATTTAGTTTAAATGCTTGAAGAATGTTAATCTTAAGTACCGATGTTCGAATCTTCTCCTCCATGTTTACTTGATATGTTTTAATGACTCGGGAATGATACATCTATTGGACAAAATCTTTTTTGTTCTTTATTCAATTTGCATCCTCTCGGCAAAAATCGTTCGACTGGTCAGAAATTTCGTGTTTTACTGACCTATCGCCGAGCCTTCGACCTCTTGGAAAGTGAGAATCTGACGGCTTCATATAAAGTTTTAATGATCGTGGAAATCTGAAATCGATGAATAGAAATACCTACTGAATTCCCGGTTGGGAAATATAAATCAAGAGGATGTGGGTGTGGATGCCCTGATTATTCACCCCTGAACTACATCCATACCCTAGTTCTAGACGTGATAGATCTTCCATCTTGTCGTGCAAGGTTCTATGATTTCATTGTTTCTGTCAAATCAGTTATTTTCTTTGAATATTTTGAGAAGATATGAAAAAAAATTCTGTCAAATCACAAAACATATGTATTGAAATGTTTTTTTTGATAATGTTCTACTAGTACCAGAACAACTTCAAAATTGATTATCTTTTCAAAAACATATTTGAAGACATTTTAAAACTGCAATCATTCAACAGCCTGTCCACAGATAACGCACTCACCCATTTTTGGTAAATTCCAGTTTCGCCGAAGATGAATTTCGCCGAAAATAGAGTTCGCTGAAAATGAAGTTTGCCGATTCCATTATCGTTGAATGAATTTATCACCGAAAATGAATATAAGTTACAGTTTATCGGTCTTATAGACAACAATTATATTCTAGTTAATTAGCTCATGATACCGAGTCAGATGGTTACCAAATCAGTCGGTTAGCAAGTCAGTTAGTTACCAACTGAGGTGGTTACCAACTAAGATGGTTACCAACTAAGATGGTTACCAAGTCAGATGGCTACTAAATCGTTTATCTTTCAAAAATGAATAATGTTAAACCAAACAACGATATAAAGTTTTTTTGTACAACATCTTTGTTTACTATTCTTTGTTTTCTTTCACTAGTATGACGAAGTTTAAACTATTAACCTCCACCAAAGCATAAAGGCTATATCGACGCCACAAGTCTTTTTCATACAAATTAAGACATACGAAGTTTCTTCTAGTGGTATCTAATTAACCAATGAACAGATTTTATTGGCATGATAACTATCTGAGTTGGCAACCGTCGTAGTTGGTAACCATCTGACTTGGTATTATGGACTAATTAACTAAAATATAATTATTATCTATAAGACCGATTAACTGTAACTTATATTCGTTTACGGTGATAAATTCATTCGGCGATAATAGAATCGGCGAACTTCATTTTCGGCGAAATTTCTTTCGGTGAAAATTATTTTTCGGCAAAATTTATCTTCGGCGAAGCTGGAGTAAATCCTATTTTTGACCTTCTGATTGTTATAACTCGATAACTAAAGGTGACAAAGAGCTGAAACTTGCACTGCAGTAATGTATTCCAGGTGGAGACGGACAGTCGAAGAACACGTTCAGAACGGATGAACAGTTGAAAACGCATTCAGAACGCGTTCGTAACATCCTTTATCTTCTGTATAGAAGTCGCTGCTAAAATGAACTCAAATGGTGGTCACAAAGAAATATATGTCCATTATTATATTTTAGAGCTTTGTTTCGTTCACAAATGCGTTTGTTTTGTACAGTTTGTATAAAAATGTTTGATGTATCTACTTGTTCAGTTATGTACTTTTCATTTTAATTTTTACTCGTGTTATCAGAATACTTCGTTTTGGTAAATGGACAAAGACAATATCACTTCTCAAGCTGATCGTTTTATTATTTAGCGTAAATTAATTTTTTTATATTCAACTAACAATGTCATGCAGTTTTTCATGAATAGAGCGCAAATTGAAAAAGCAGCAAAATTTCCGTTATCGAGAATGAATCTCTGCCAAATCTTTTTCAAGTCTGAAAAATATTTCTTTAAATACACGCTAGTTCTTTGAATGTCTACTTTTGGAAAAACATTTGTTGTGACTTTCTAATATAGCAAGTATGAACAATATTGACTTTCAGCACGATGATGAAGTTGATGTTGATGAAAATGATTCGAAAGAACATGATCCTGAAGAAGATAGTAAGTTTTCTTTGGAGCTATTTCGTTTTTATCTTTGGCAGTATTAAATACTTTTCGAGATAGACAATGGAGTTTGCGATGATAATATTCAATCGAATGACAATACAAATTTGCTGTTATTCGAGGACAACTCTTATCAATCTAATGTTAATGTAAATTTATCCTCTGATCATGAAAATATTCATCAACATCAATTTCTCTCTCAACTGATAGATTTTATTCACACAGCAATATTAAATAAAACAACAACAACATCACTTTTATCTTTATCGAGAACGACAAATTCATTTACAACAGATATTCCACAGACTAGTAATTCTCTATGGGAACAACTGGGTGTTAAATTTCCATTCAAAACATTTTATTTTTGTTCATTTTGGGGGTGGGGTGTCGGAGAGAGGGAGTGTGAATATAGATGTGGGTGGAGTGAACAAAAAGTACACACTCACATTCACCCACACACAGACAAAGCGTGCATCCGATGTTTTATATTTCTTAAAGAAAAACCATTTTTCTATCAATAGAAAACAAAAACGTACTTGTTTGTTTTGGTGAAGTGACACAAACTACTGCTACACCAATAATTATTACTATAGCCATGTATATAATACTTGCCCATATAGCTATTGCAGTTCGATGTCGTACCCAATACGGTTTTGTACTAAGAAAAATATTATTAATATTATAATGAATAAAACACGAAAGAAAGAATATATACAGAGGCGTTGGAGTCAGTGAAGCCCTATGTATTCGATTATAGATATAGACAATTTTTTCTAATTTATATTGATTTTCAGTCGAATTCTCAATTTGTTGATGTTCGACAACATAAGAATCTTGTGCATCAGCTGACCGTTCTACTGAAATAGTAGCATCATCCAAAGTAGTGTTTCGCATCTATGATGGAAAAGTAGAAAATTTTATGGTACAGTTCTCTCAGACATTGATCATCTATACCTCGAATAGTTTTCTTTAACTTATCGTTTAAATGATTGACTGTATATATTCTATATCAGATAGTTATAATATTTTTGATTTAAAATAGTATCTAAAATAAAAGCATTTTGGTTTTTAGTAATTTCAATTTTAAATAATGAATGTTAGTCCACACAAGTCACACCTACAAGATAAAGATTATCACAATGACACAAATTTATCAAAATCAAAAATCAAATGAAAAAGTATTGTGACAAAAAATCCATGTTACATGAAATTTAATATCGGATTGGTCTAAATGAATCTTGGATTCAAGAAAGAACACCTCAATTTTGAAACATTTGTTAAACTTCTATTAGTCTTTAGATAGATGTTAGTATTCAAATTCCTGTTGGTAAACTATGTTGGAACAACGGTTTATCAGGTATTACAATCATCAATGAAGAAAGAAAACTTGAGGTGAGTGTGAGTGACTCTGGGTCAAGCAATAGCAACACCCATACCCTTGTGTGTATTTCTGCGAATAATTTAATATTTGAATTTCAGGTTTTCCGATATAAGATTTTTAATAATTGAATTTGAGTTTCAGTTTAGATAAGTATGTAATAATACAGAATATGCATATTAAATGAATACTATGTAGTTAAGAAAAAGAGTTTGTACAAAGAATACTAGTTGTGAATACCTTCGAATTCAAGAATAAATTTTCATAATTGTATTTGTTCTTCTTCAAAACAAAAGCAATTATAGCATAATCTGTCTAGGATCAAAATCTCAAACATAACATAGCTGCTATTGTTAAATACAATAAGATTGTTTTATTTCATCTGTCTTCGAACATACTTCTTCACCATCCTTTTACCTAATTCTCCAGAAATGCAATAAGACGTTATATATATATATATAGTCTTCAATTGCATATCAAGAACGTCTCTCACTCTCACTGCCTGTGATGAGTAGCCTTTAACGTGTTTTTTGTCATGTCACGTGGGAGCGGGGAAAGGAGAGGATCATTTTTGATCAATTAGCTGATTAATGTGTCAAAATGAAAGTGAAAAGCATCGACCGTGAAATTTATTTTATGACTGAGATAACTCTATTAACAGATATAAACATGTTTTTTTAATGAATACTGTATGTTGAATATGTGACTTCTACTTTCATGCATTATCCATCATAAATTGCATTTACAGGTGCTATATATAAAATCACTTGATCATAGAGAATGAGATTAATAATTGTTCTTATCTTCGTTTTACTTGATTGGAAATTTGAAGAAAAAACAGTCCATAATTCGATAATTTTGCGTAAGAAAATGGAACCTGCAATTCAAGATCAAGAAACTGATAATATCGATTCGATCATGAAATTTTATTCTCGTATTTGAACGAATATCTTTTTAATTTGGCCTTGTTAACATCATCAGGACGAAAAATAACGACTTCCAATGCCTACACCGAAAGAGAAGGAAAGAAAAAAAAGCTCGCAAAGGACCACATCAATGATGTGTTCCGCATCATTGCTACTACTTCCAAAATAATATCTAATCATTCATAAATGCTTCTACTCATAATATTTCTTTGATTTAAATTCTTTTTCGAATTCTAGATATTCAATAATAAACATATTAAAGAAGAGCATACTTTCTTTTGTTTTATTTCACCATATTAATTGCCATTTAATTTTTGTTTTTGTATAAATATTTATTTTTAATTGATCGATAGTTCAGTCTCAAATGAGGGATACCCATTGCAACTTCTCGAAAATATACATAAATATGAAATGAATAACTCTTCCTTATCTTTTTGATTGTTGTAGAATTTTCCTAACTAGAATTTTATCATCAATGGTAACAAGGCCAAAACAACAACGCTATCTAAATAACTTACGTGAATAATGTTTACATTAAGTAATGCATCAAACCTATATTTGTAACCAAAGTATGCCTTTAGTTTTACTTGAATGATTTTTGCTAATGCAAAAAAATATAATAACATAAGTTATATTCAAGTAAAAAAATACTAATGGTATTTCTTACTTTTTCTGTCCTGTGTTGAGATTGTGTATTTTTTTTGTCACGAGCTTTATATTCGATGATAAATCACTGACTTCAAAAAAAAACGAAAGAACAAATTAGGTACAACTTGGATAAGGAAAAATAGAATGAATCATTCGCTTGTCTGTCATTTTTACATACGTACTTGAACTAATGAATAGATAAAACGGCACATAAGTGAGAATATCATGGTATTTGATTCCTAGTTTTTCGAAAAATTATTTCATAAATAGAAAGATATAAAAGAAAAGACAGGCACTTTTCAAACATGAAGATTTATAATTTGAACTCTTTTCAAGGGGAGAAATAGCTGATTATAATCAAAGCAATCATTGTCAATCACTTGTCAATCATTGTCAAGCAAGTCAATCTCGTGAATTAAAAATTCAGCTTTTTCCCCTTGATATGGATCCTATTTGAAAGAAAATGAACGTATTTATTCCATAATGTGGGACAGGGTGTGAATGTTGTCATTGCTTGGCTCAGAGTCACCCACTTCCACACTTGCACCTACACTCCACATTCACCCACACACATATGAATCGAGGAGAATAAATAATGTAGAACGAAGTTTCGGGTAAATTATTATAAAGAAAGATAATGCTGACATACAAGGATGCAACGGTGACGATCATTCACCGATCCACCTCGACAACCGTACCTACTGTTATTTGCACGATTGCATTCCTACTGACATACTTAAAAAATAACATAATTATGAGTCTAAAATTTTTGTTGCTATAAATATTTGATAGAAATAGAAAATGAAGAATGTCAAACAAGAAGTAATACAAGCGAATAAAAACTAAAAGATCTTTTTATAAACATGTATCGAAGGAATAAACCAATAGTTCCCTGTTATTGGTGTTGAAAAATCCATAATTCGATCATGAATTCCATTATCCATGCCAATCATGCTATTTAATTGTTTTTCGTGTTTGTTCGGATTGGCAGCATAAGAAATAAAAAATAATCCGTGCTCTTTCATCCCTCCATAAGATAACGATTGTCTAACTACTTTGATGTTTACTTCATTCTTTCCGAGATTCATTTGAGTAATATGAGACGTCAAAATTTTTGATTTGATCTTTTTACATTCTTCTTCTTCTTCTTCTTCTTCTTTCGTTCTTCCAATTACATTCTCTTGTTCTTCTTGAGATAGTCTACAAACATTTCGTCAACAAGATTTTAATTACAGGCAATTATTGTCACAACATCTTAACTTACTCATTCCATTTAATCGGATTATGTTTCCATTTTTGAGTTAATGCAAATGACCCTCCGACATGAATTGCAACGTCTTCTCCATCACATATGAGTGCAGCTTTAGCCTGAATATAAAATTTTGTACAATATAATACATACATCTACTTTTAAGTATACTTTCTGTTCGTCATCCTTCGGATTTTCGTCGACATCTATGAAACCAGTAAAATCTTGAAAACATTCATTTGTTTTTGAGCTCATATGCGCAAAGCCAAAAGTTTCATCTAATTTAGCAATAGAATCATCCGGAATAGATTGACAAAATTGTCGACCCAATTCAAAGCAAAGATCTTTTCGATCACTTCTAATATGAAGCATTAAGCTACCTCCTAAATTTTTCAATGATTAGTAAGTATTGTTCATTTGATCGAAAATCCAATCATTAATATTCAATTTACTTGTACTAGGCATATATTTTCCTGTAGGACCTTGTTTTTCTTGAAATTCTATAAAAGATTTTGGAAACGGAACATCAACTCGAGTAAGCCATTCTTGAGTTTTGTTATATCCGATTCCTAATGTCGCTTCTAGTCTGCAACCTGGATACAATTGAAAAAGTGATTCCTTAAGTTGTGGCAATGTTCGACACGCTTTTCTAACATCTGCATCATGTTCATTTGTCAGATGGACTAAAATAGTATCAAAAAAGAAACTACCAATAAATAGAGAAACTACGTAGCCAATAGAGGAGCTTGTATACATACAGATGATGTAAAGTGCATGCTCATTTATATCGACTGGCGTTAAAACTCCAGTTTGACAATGGTAAGTATTCGAAATAGAAGCATTTTTTTGTTGAACACCTGCTGACTTTTGTAAGTCGTAAGTTCTGGAGATGTTGTGATGATCCTCTGGAGAACTAAATTATCATAAAAACTGCGATTATATGTAGAAGTTTCTTAAACTACTACATTCACGCCAAGAACAAAGGGGAATACCGAAAAATTGACAAATCCATCTTGGTCAAACGTCATTCCGAGACGATTAAAGAATAGTTTTTCGTGAAAAAAACTGAATTTGTACGATTCCAACACTCACTTACCCTCTTATGGATTCCAGTAATTTGGTCGACATATTTCTCTTTAGTTTATCAAAATAGCTCATTTTATTACTTTCTGAAATATGACAATCTGTAAAAATCATTCAAAATATATGTGCATTCACGACTTCAACATCCTTGTAAATAGGTATTGTAACATCGTAGCTCAATGATGAAAAAAGAACTGTGAAGCTAGCGCCGACAAAATATTTTCGGCGGCAATGCGCTGCTGCAATGCACTGTGTCCTTAAGTTAATGATAAGGTTTTTTTCGTGAAGTGTTCTTTACTCTGGTTATCACCCAGTCAACTCAATCAAGTTGAGAACAAATAGAAGGTTTATTTCATGGCAAACAACATAAAATAATCAATGACATTTTGAAGAGAACAGATTAATTTCTTTTTCAACAGTGCATGCTGCGTATGAATTCAGTACTGTTTGTGTCAAACTGTAGTCAAATGAAATATATACCTTTTTCTCGAAAAAGTCTTGTTTTGTCATAGCAAATCAACGTCACACTCAAGGGCACATAGGAACATTTTTCGAATTCTAAATTTCTCGCATTACTTGATATAGGTCCATGTCATTCATCGTATAATTCTCGATGCTCAAAATCTAAGCGTAATCATAGTTAACTTCGAGTTTTCATTTGTTAATATTTAACTTGAAGATTTCTTTATTAAAATATTCTAAGAATGAAAAGTCGAAGTACTTTCCTTTGTGCTTTGTCGATCTTCTTGTTTCCGCTTGCAAGAACGATTGTATATGCACATATATGAACACTACATCTGCGAATACACACGATTTGTATTAGAAATCTCGGATGCGCACGTCAAAACAAATATACAAATCATACATGTGCTAGGTTGGAAATAATATTTTTCCAAGAGGTACTGCTTTACTTGTAAATAGAGTAAATGATGAGTTTTATACCAAACGAAAGGTCGTCAAAAATTGGGTTTGTTGGTACTAAACAATAAAGATTATGGAAATTTCCGTATATTGAAATGTCTAAATTTAAAAGATTTCACCAACCATAGGTGTCAGAAAAATTATTGATGAGATAAAGTTGGAACTAAGCGTGATATAAAATTCTTTATTTTTTCATTGTTTAATGAATACATTCACTAATCATTATGACAATCGTTAGCGTTCTTTACTGCGCGCAGTTTAGATGGATACGAACATAGAAGAGTTTCAAATAAATTAGTGCCGGTTTCCATGTTTGTCAAAACATCTGAAATGTGCATTTTGAGTGTTTCTTCAAGGTAATGAGAGTATCCAGTTTCTGATAGCACCTTTTTTTTTCAACTTCATCCTTGATTATTGTTCCAATATGTTTCGCTACATTCAGATCGGATGAATCTCCAACCCAAATATTATTATCTCAAAACTTAACGTAGTTATCTTGAAGCCAATTTTGTGTCGGATTTACTCATATACATGGTGCTTTATTATAGACAAATATAACTTCATCGAGATGGATAATATTTTCTTCATTTTTTAAGAATGGAAATACGTTTTCAGTTAAAATTATATCACGAAAATATTGACCAGTCTAAGATTCACTTTTATCTTTGATTACCTAATGTAATCTCTTAGCAATAAATATAACAAAAAACCCAATACATGCTTGATTTTTAACCATTTCACGATAACGTTCATCTTCTTCAATATCGTCGATACTTTTTGCCCAAATTCGATCACTCTAATAATTTGATCGTTGAACAATCGAGACAAAAATTTTATCAGATGGTGCGAGATGAAGAAAAGCCTCTTCGATCAAATCTTTTAACCAATCACACCTCCATAATCGATTCGATATATGAGTTTCCAATTTTAAGGGTATTGGAATAACATGGAACGGCTTTGAACCTTCTCGATGACGGTTGTTATTGATTGTTCTTGGAACAACGCACTCTTTTTGCCTTTCTGCAATTTCCTTCCTCACAACAAAGCAATTTTTTCTTTGTCGACCACTCACTTTAAGGATGATATCTTGACTTGCTTGTGATAATTTAAGTTTAGAATCAGCATTTAAATAATTAGCAAAACAATGGTCATATGGTTTTTCCCACCAGTCTGTAACAAATCGAATCGAGCGCTAAACTTTCCCCGCGACCAAATGTCGATTAATAAATGTTGCCTCAGCATTTCGAGCTTAATGAAAAGCGATGCATTTAATTTTGTCAATAATTCTCTGCTCTTCAGTATCATAAGTATTAGCCATTTTAAAATAATTAGATTTAATTGATTCAGCAAAAGAATACATTTTTTTTATGAAAGTTATTGATCAGAAAATGACCTCATATATTGTTTCATAAAGTTCTTGAACTCTGTTGTTCTATAATTATCTAAGAGAAGAAAAATAACAAAAATCTTTTTTATTCACTGTCGACACAAGGAACAGATAACAGAACGCAAAACGACAATGGCACCTTCTATATCATAGTTAGGTCTTATGATCACTAGAACAATGCTCTTTTCAGGTTTTTCAAAGAAAATTTCTTTTTTTCTTCGTCTTACAACTTGGTAAAAATGAATTATAACGATGGTATTATGCAAAATTCTTTAAATTTCGAGAGTTTCAACATACGAATGTTTTCATAATCCATATTGTTTGGTACCAATAAACTCCATTTTTGATGGACCTTCATTTGGTATAAAATTCATTTTTTACTCTATTTGAAATTATAGCAGTACTCCCCTGGCAAAATATTATTTCCAGCCTAGTTGATTATATTATAACTAAAGAAGTAGTAGTTTTATGTTATCACCATTCTTTGAAATAGTTCTATTGATTTTTTTCATTCTAGATAATATTTGTGAGTTTATTTCTATAAACTATTTATAATTTTCTGAAGGTAAATTTCCGCATTTTTAAAGCATTATTCCATTACGATGATTTTTTTTATGTGTGAGACGGAGCTACCATATATTTTGAATTATTTTTTTTGCTATATATAGCTCGTCATCTAATCTATAAATTTCATATAGAAAAGTTTTTCGCTACATTTGTAGTTGAGCTAAAGTTTTTAGTTCTTTACATAACACTCAAAGCATGTTACCATTTTTGGTTATTCCGTCGCGGGTATATATTTCAATCATAAAAATGTAAAAGAAAGACAAGATCTAATGAGATTTTTACAATATGAACGGTAGTCTGATTTATATATGTTTTCAGAATATCAGCCTTATTAAACCTAAATGTATTGAGATATTTCAGTGGTAAAGTATAAAAAAATGCTATTCCGTCACGATTGGACAGATGATATTAATAAGAAATAAGACGATAACATCTTCGAAAACTGATTTGGAGCATCGAAAATTTTTCAAAATGAAATATCTATTTTCGTATAGTGTTGTATCTGTGAATCGGTTTAGACTTCTGATTGTTACCATTTTGAATGAAAAGAAAAATTTTATTTAAGTGCATATATATGTAAAATGAAAATACTCCTAAATAATAAAATATTTGATTAGTTAAATAAGTAGATGAAAAATGTTAAACGAAAAAAAACAACGATGAAAACATTGATAAAAACGCTTAGGCTACAAAAAAATATAGACAATGGAACACGGAATACAAAATGAACGATTAAGCAATGTGAGCATACACTCAACCGGTAATATAAATAAAATAAATTATCTTTGATTAAACAAAAGTATCATCCCAATACTTGTTTTCTCGTTAATTTGCAAAGTCTTACTCACTAAAAAATAAATACTCTATGTCCATGTTACCAATGGAGCTATGCCTAAAAGAGAAAGAAGAAATAGAATAACCGATAATTCATAGGTTGGTTAACTTGATCAGAACATTATCGAAAATGTCACATACTCTTAGTTCATGACAAAACAAGAGTATTTTAGTAATCGGTTGGAAGAAAAACATATTTTTCTCTCTCCTTCTCAATATGAAAAAAAAGTCGTAACATTCATCTGATGATGATTATTCGAAGTCATCATTAATAATGAAATAAAAAATCTCTTACCTTCACGAGATATCATGCTAGGTAAATAGTTTTCGTCATTAAGAAAATAAAGTGGATATTCGACAATAAAACCTTGAATGCCTTTCAATTTTTTTTGTGCCTTAAAAACAAAATAAAAACATTATTCAAAAACTCTATTAAATATATACATTCGCATATATACTTCTATCGGATCGGTATCCTTCATCTTAGCCATACCATTGTTTTCATTAATTTGAGCAAATGTTCTAGCACGATCAGTTGGCATTGTAGCAAAAACTTCTTCATAAATCAATGTATTTTGTGTTGCTACATTTCGAAAATAAGAATAAAATTCATCTGATACTGGATCAGTTATATCGATATTATTTGGATTCTCGAATTGAATACCTAATAGCATCCTACAAAAACAAAAAGTAAAATAGTCTTCTATGAAAATCATTATAATTTTAGATATGAAACATACTTAAAGATCTTTTTACGCCAACTAGAACAAAATTTTCCTACACGAACTGGTTGTCCATTAAATCGACTATCTTCTTCTTCAAGATCACTTATTACAATACAAAATTCACTATCACGATCACCAACTAATGAACGATCATTTATATTTGCACTACCACATATAGCCATACGATCATCAATAATCATTAATTTTGAATGAACATATATTATTTCAGTTACCTGAAAACAAAACAACGAATATCCAAATTTTATCATTAATGAAATATTTTACTTACTAGACGGCCCATTAGAATATCATGATTACGCATACCAAAAACATTAATATAATTTCTTGGTGCAATACCTAAATATCAAAACCAGGGTTACATGAGAAACCTGTAGTGAGGATAGAAAATAAAAGTTCATCCATCGCTGCCATGCCTTGATAGACTACAAAAATAAGTTTTCATTACTACGATGATATTCGAGAAAAACTGTTTCACTTTCTACCATAACGTTTTGAATCGTCCTCTTCAAAGAAAAGTCGAAACTGTCGTGATAGGTATGTCTGCATTGAGCATTTCATTTGTTCATGGATAGTGGACAGCCGAATTCTGGTATCATGTTTAAGGTCTTTCCCACGTCAAAAATCGATCTCAACCCAGAAAAGTTCAAATGAAATGAAATTTTCAGCCCGATATCGTGACGTTTGAGAGAGATATTGGCCGAATAAAGATAAAAAATAGCTCATTTGACAGCTCAAATTTCTCAGTTCAGATCGATGTGATGTATTTAAATTTTTTTTTTGTTTGAAAGAGTATGTCAGGATGCAGGGCATCACAGAGTCCTTTTTTTTTAAATTCTTACTTTTTAAGCGAAACCGTAAGTTTTCTAGATTCTACTATATTCGGATTTTTTTGATTAGAAACAAAAAAAAAAAAACATTGTATTTCAAATAAGCATGTTTTTTTCTTCTTCTTTTTAACATTTTGTTAAGCATTGCATTGAATTATATCAACTAACAGAAAATGTTAACCATCATCATCCGACTGAGTAGATATTATTGAATATCTTCGTGTATATCAGAAACGATTCTCCATTTTATATTTTCATATGGATTAGACGATTTTTTTCATGAAAATTCCAGCACAAGGAATACTCGTACACGTTTCATAAGGATGAGAAAGTGTAAAGTGAGTAAGGTAAGATCAGAAAATTTCTCTCAATCATAGTACAACGTACGACAAAACTTGATCTTGAACATTTCTGATCTTCGTCATTAATTCCATCTTTAATTTTATGAGTTCTAAAAATTTCTTTTCCATATAACACTAAAACATAAGCTCTATTGTCTTTGATTATCAAACAAAGATAGACATCTGTGCTCTATTTACTGTTGTAAATCATAATATAAGATTGAAAACTTCCTAATCTATTCTATTTTCATATCTGTTATTAAACAAAAAGAAAACTACGATAAAAATATTGATTTACCTGCATTTTCAAGTCGTCTATATAATGAATTATCACCCTTAGTAATTGACCGCATAATAAAATAGAGTACAGCTTGTACAGCATTCATACTATCAAAACCAGGTAAAAGAGGAAGAACAATATAAATACGAAATTTTTCATCATTGCTAATCAATAAAAGAAACTATTAAACATGTTACATAATAAAAAAAAAAAACTTCATACTTATATGCTCGTTCTATACGTCGGAAAAGAACATCAGCTAATTGATTTCGAACTACTGGATCTTGACCAATAGTAACAAAGAATTGATTCTAAATACGAAAAAATAATCAAAAATTGTACTTTTTTTTTGTTTTAAATTAATCTACTTCAATATATATATAATGTTTAGCAGCATCAATCATTTGTATATAAGCATTTTGAATCGATGATTCTACTGTTTTCGTTCTTGCTGACCATGGGCCAACAGAGCGAACGCACTTAATATAAAATTCAAGTTAAAATAATTTTTAAAAATAATAACTTACCTGAGCATTTACACGGTATGGTTCACTTTCAAGAAAATCTCTCCAATTTTCGACAATTAAGTCTTCAACATCATCATAAGACTTAGGTAATAGATATGGATAAAAATCATTATTCAGATATTTTTCACACTTAATAAAAGAAATTCAAAATTAAAATTTGGAAAAGTTTTTTCCTCGTTTTTCTGATAACTTTCATTTTCAACGCATAAGTTCATAATCAATTAGTTAATTACCAAAGCGACTGATTACTATCTGAGTTAGTAATCAGGTCAGATAGTTGTCAACAGATGACAAGAGGGTGGATGAGTGTTTATGCCATGTCTGAATGTTCATTTCATTTGTAGCCTCGTCCATATTCCATCTAAACCATCGTTCGCACAGTCAAGAGAAAGTAGAGATTATACTCGGAGGTCGTCAGACTTGAACGTAGGGTCAAGCAATTTTTTGAGAATCAATGGCCAAAACAACGGATAGAATGCGAACATTTATCCGGGGGAAAAGGAAAATGTTCAAGATTAGAGGAGAACCTCGGCTCAGGACACCAGTGACTATACTACTGCCAGAAGCCTTCTGAGTGAAAATTCTGACAGCGAAAACCGACGCTAGGACGGATCATCGCATGAAATCTTCACCTATTGGTATGTGTTTTGTGAAATATGATCTGAAAGGAGTGTTGAGGTACATACGGGAGAGATTTGGATCTCCGCCGCTCAAAGACCGTGACAGACCTTTGGATACACGATCAGCGATTATATATCACTAGAATCTCATGACAATATAACAACTGCTTTGGTATTGCTGTTCTAGAGAATTTTAGTACAAAAAATAATGGATAAATGGTTTCCAAGGTATATCCAAGAAAATAATATTCACGTGATTAGTAATAACAGCTACATCGTGTTTCACATTTTAATCCCGTAAAGATTGTGGTTTTTACCATTGGAAAGAGATAATTGAAGACGTATTGAATCATATACGAAAAGATTTTTCTGATCACTTTTCTAAGAATCTTATGTAAAGTTTCTAGTAAACCAACATGCCTCGTGTGGTCGCGATATTGATTTATTTATTTTCAGAGGTGTACTAAAACCACCAATCGAAGAGCTACAAAACTGCATAAAGGTTCTATTCCTAGCTGCAATCAATAAGATATCATAGTCATTGAAGTTCAAGGTATCACGCTATTTTTTCAAGAAAATAATCGAAAAATATACGTTTTTCTTGTATTATGATGAAAAATTTCTTTTTTGTTTTCAACATACGAGAAAAAAGTAATTCTTTGAGAAAGTCTAACTAAAACTCTTAGGAAAGTAGTCAGAAAAATCTTTTTGTATATGGTTCAATGCGTCTTCATCACCTCTTTCCAATAGTGAAAACCGCAGTTCTCTATACCATTCTCTTCAAAAGTTATTCAAAATATACTCGCTCGTCTTTTTTTTTGAAATGGATATTAGTTACCAACTCAGATGATAATTACTTTTTTTGATAATAAACTAATTAATTATAATAAAAATTTATATATAGAATGAATTCTATCTGATTCAATAGTCTTCAGTGGTGAAAATCAAGTAAATCATTTTTCTTAGCTAACTTTATGAATATTCCATCGTTGAATGAAATGTCTTGCAACATCTCGAGCTGTTTGACCAAATACAACCAATGCTTCATCATGCCATGGCATACGTGGTACTAATGTTCGTGTAACACAATCTACAGTACAGTTTACATTAGAAGATTTGACATAAATAAAAAAAGAGCAAGAGTTAATTACCTGTTGTGTAGTCTTCAAGCTGGTTAAAATCTTTTTCATATGCATTTGAATAATCTTTTCCAATAAAATATCGATGTTTTCCATCAACTTCAGGTGTTGAAGTAGCAATTGATTGTTGTTGTTCTTCGAGAATTTTTTCACCATCTTTTCTCACTGTCTAAATAAACCAAACATTTAGATTTTGTTTGTAATTACTTTAAAAAGAAAGTCTTTCTATAAGATGTCGAGTCAATTTTCGACTAGTTCAAAACAATTGAATAGAATTAAAAAGTAATCAACTCGAATCAGATTTTATTCTTCTTTTTAATCTATACAAAACATTATATTGATATAAATATGTTTACTCATCTTAAGAATATGTAAATGTCATTGAAGAAGTTTCAATGTAGTAGTTCAATACAGAATTTAATTCTCTTTCTAAATTTATTCTCGGATTTTCTTCTTTTTACAAACTTACAGTCGGCTGACTGTGAGCGTATGAAAAAAAAGGAAGCTAATCAAGTATTTGGGATAAGAAGGTTCGCTTTATATCAATTAATGTCTATGGAAACGAAAGTAATCATCAGAAAACTACAATAGAAGAGAGTTCGAGGTCTGATATTTACGATCTTATCTTTCTTGTTTTTGAAAAATCTCTGATAACTTTCATCATCTTCTGCTTGAAAAATATGCTTTCTTCTTCTAAATTAATGCTTTGTGCGATCTTCTCGAAGAAGCTTCGTTGTAGTTCATTACTTTTGTTTTCTTTGTAAGTAGATATCAAACTGCATTGACTAACAGGGTCTATTCTCTGTATTAAGCTTTTTTTTCTGAGAGTTTTTCAAGACATTTCACTCATCTTTCTTTTTCTTCGTATAAAAAGTAAGACCTTTGCCAGATGGTGTAATATGATATATTCTTTCAACTTATAAAATTTATGAAATGAGAATGTATAGAGAATTTTAATATAGACTCTCGATATGTCCTGAAAATTTCATAAGACTTGAATGAACGTAACTCAAGATCGATTTTCGATGGTAGACCGAGGGTACTGACTCCAGAAAAAAAAGATCTAAAAAGATTAGTCAAAAAAGAGCTAAAGACTTTTTACACACAAGTTATTTATTTGATTATTTACTTGAACTATATTTTGCAATCCCGGAGTAAATTGTCGAATTGCTTGTCCATTATTTGTTACTTGTGTATCTTCAATATTACAAAAAAAAAAAAACATTCAAAATTCAGATTGTTTTCTCCTATATTAATTAGAACTACAGTACAAAAAAATAATAATAAAAGCTTTGAAATGAAAAATAGAAAGAAAAAAGATTTCCTATTAAATGTAAAATCTATGAAATGATATTCATTAGAAGCATTCCAAGAGCAACATTTAGCATGATTATCTGCAGTGATAACAATAGCAAAAATACGATTATTCTAGTAAATATAGATTCAATGCTAGCAATATTAGTTTTCCAATAATATCTTCTACTTTATTGTTGATTAGTAGTGAATATATTAAAGATGTAGAATATTGATCATTACCGTTGTCTGATTTAATATCACTTTTATTTTCATCTGTTTCTATTTAAATGATGAAAATTTTGTAAAATAATAATACTTATTAAATTTAAATTACGTTAAAAACGAACTAACGATTGTTATTTTATTTTGACAATTAGAAATAGATCATAACAAACGAATGAAATCAATCGAAAATAAATTCATCAATCTTATGTATAATATCCTATACTAATGCATATACATACGAAATAATATAATTTATTTAGAATGATCTTCCTCTGACATGTAAATATTATTATCTTCTGATTTTTCCTTTCTCATGAATAAGAAATGATATTTATTCTTACCTGTCAACGTTGATTGCATCCCTTGGATAATGAGATAAAAAACAAGAATAGTGAACAATTTATGAAAAAAAAACACAATAGAATTATTTACAATTTCCAGCTATTGATTTCATATCATATGTTATTCCATTTGCATCCGTTGAAGCAGGGAGCTTGATGTCTTCATTTACCTCATTTAAAGGATTGAATGCTGCTCTCAGACAACTAATGCTCTAGAATAGATTCATAAATATTATATATACAGTCAAAGGAAAAAGTATTCGAACATCCTTGTATTTTTTTCGTATTTATTGATTTGTGAAACAGAAACAAGAGATAAAATTTTTCTTTTCGTCATTAGTAGATCGTTTCATATTATTTTCTATATAAAAATTAAGAATTTCGTCTATCATCTTGAATTATAAGACGTTTTTTCGATGTATTCAAGATAAGAGTCTTCTATTTTTCATACAAAAGTATTCACTTTTTTAACATCAAAATTATATCATGTGTATGTCATCAGAGTGAGTACAGCGAGCTCTATCCATTCGCATGATTTTCGATAGAGAAAAGTAATATTCACAATAAAATCTATTTTAAAAAATGAAAAAAAATCTCTTAATATGATAGTACAGATGAAAACTCATCGAGATTGGTTTTTTTTCAAAATTAAACTACTCGCGAGAGAGCCCATAAAAAGCTATATGAAACTTGATGGGTTGACAAAATTTTTACTGCAAAAACTTAAAGTTTAGAGAGAAGTATTACATTTGAATATTGATATTACATGCAGTCCTTGAAAGAATATTCAACTGCATTCATGCAAAAAAGTTAATCTAAGAGAAATGTATTGTATATCCTAATTTTTCAAACAAAAAAAGATTCTTGCTGCACAAAAAAGAAAGGAAACACTACAAGGGTACTTTATTCCAGTTTGTAGAGAATTTTTTTCTCTATCGTATTCTATCGAATACATTTCTTCTACATTAACTTTTTTTTGATGAATGTAGTTAAGTATTCTTCTTCTGATCAAACTTTAAGTTTTTGCAATAAAAATTTTGTCAAACCACTAAGTTTCATATAGCTTTTTATGGGCTCTCTCGCTAGTAGTTTAATTTTGAAAAAAACAACAATCTCGATGAGTTTTCATTTGTACTATAATATTAAGAGATTTTTTTTCATTTTTTGAAATAGATTGTATTGTGAAGACGAAGAAAAGAAAAATTTTATCCCTTGTTTCTGTTTCACAAATCAATAAATACAAGGATGTCCGAATATTTTTTTACTTTGACTGTAAATGATGATTAGACTTTATTATCTTTTTTCTCTTTTTAATTTTCTTACCTTAATAGGTACTTCACCAGCTTGTTCAGCCATTTGCGTAGTAGTTATTTGTGCTGCTTCTACCGTTTCTTTACCACCCGATGCTGCTTTTTCTGCAGCTATATCAGATGGTGATTTCAATGTTGCATCATTTTTATCGGCCAAATCGACAAGACTGACAATAAAAAAAAAAAGAACGAAAACTCGTACCTTAATACTTGGTTCAACAATTTAGAGGTTTATTATTCGTGATCTTAATTATTATTGTACATAGCTTTACATGATATGTTATGCGCTAATGATAGTTCATTTGAATCTATTCAGTTTCAGATTCGTACTATAATGACTCGTTAGAATATCTTTTCATTGAGAATGAAGGAAATATTTAGATGATGTTTTTCAATGATTTATTTTTCTTAAAAACTATATAAAATTATGGTTGATGTTTTATAGATGGAAGTTCATGAGTTTATTGTGTAATAATTATTAAATAATCACTTATCTATCAGACCTCGAAATGGACCACCCGCCCCGACGGTTTTATTCTTTTTTGACATAACTTCTTCTGAGATTTGGCTCACCCCTGAGGGAGATAGAGGAAAGCTTCTTCATGCTACCCCAATTTGGTCATCACTTTTTATAAAAGCCGGAAAATATGGAATAGCTGTCTATTGAGAAAAAAATCTTTGTAAACGACGATTTTTTCAGGCCTTGACCGACCCGAATCATAAAAAGTGACCCAATTTCGAGGCCTGGTATGCTTTTTCTTCTTCTTAAAAATAAATGCATGATGCATGTGAAAACAACATGAAATTTAATATAAGACAGTAACTCACCGCATATGTTCATCATCCCAACGTCCATAACATAAATCAATTCCACCAACGAAGGCAATCTTTTGATCGATAACAACCATTTTTTCATGATGAGACCATAAAAGTACACTATCCGTAGTATAACGATCTGGATGTCGAATAACCTTAGAAATTAAATTAAATGAATTATTTATATTATTTTTAATCAAAAATATTAAACTAACTTTAATAAATCCTTGTTTACTTTTAGAAACTAATGTTTTTTTTGTATAAAAACTATTTAAAGCTAAAGCAAATGACATTTCTTTAAAAAGCATGATATAAACACGGACTCCTGCTTCCTATAATTTACAAATAAAAATTTTAATAAATATGAATAATAAAACAATTTCAAATTCTTACAGCTATTCTTCCTAATATATTATCAAGTCGAAATGTTTCATCATCTGCTGGTCTAATTAACATGAGTTCAGGTGAAAGCCACCAATCAGTAATAAAAACTTCTTCTTTAGCTGTTAAAAGTGCTTTAGCAACAGCTTCCATATATGATTTACCATTAATAAACCTATATTAAACATTCGATTTTTTTTGATACAATATCATTTTATTATTTTTTTTTACCAATAAGCTAATTGATTTTCTCGAATAGGTGCATACGAATTAAATCGACTTGGTCTTGTACTGACAAAATCTTTTGCTTGTTCAATTAAATTTAATAAATGTTGTGTCCATTCATTACAATCACGTGTTGATCGACATTTAATAACTAATGTACGTTGTAAATTGCTTATTTTAATATCATTATTACTACCAGTTGAAACTTGAAAACTACGATCAACTAAGATAGGAAAACATACTTCATGTGTATCTGGTCGTATATCAACTATATAACTATCTTTAATAATAAACCATCTATATGTAAAAAAAAGAAAACAGTGAAGATCTTTTTTATTGAGAATATAGTTTATAAGAAATTAAAAAAACAAGGCATACTTTGGACCATCATAACATTTACATAAATTACAAAAATATTGTGCACGAAAGAAAGCATGTTGATCACAATAATAATCATTAGATGCTTCTAATAGATAACCTTCTTTTCGACTAACTGCTAAACCATGAATGAATGATAAACAACTTACATCGAAAAATTCACACTAAAAATAATTAAATTAGTACAATATGATGTTATAAGAAAAGTAATAGCCATTTTTAGTCGTTGACTTCAGCTTCATCGAAAGAATTTTTTGCCGATTCTAATATAATAGAATGAATTTATAATCCAAAACTATAGGATCAAATATAATTCATTTTGTGACCTCTGATTCAGAATTTTTGAAAGTATAGAATTTTTCCTATGAGCGTCGATGAAAGTTCTGATTTAAATGAATCTACTGCCTAATACGTGGTCTGCTAGAATAGTAGTCAGAACACTGTGAAAGTGATAGACATTAAAAAAAGATGATTATTTATTTATTTATTTATCTGAAAAATTTACCCGTTTTCAAACACTATCATCTCGATAAATGATAAATGTTTTATTAGGCATCAGCAAATTGAAGAAAATACTTTTTATACATTCCAGTAGAACAAAGTTTTATGATGATTTCGAAGTTATATTGAATCTACAAAGGCAACTTACAGTGATCTTTTGATTATTAACGTTTTCAAAAGCGAAATTAGACGAGATATCAGCTACAATTTACTAACTATTCTATTGATTAGGTAGTATTTTCTTCATATTTTCTTGTTATTTGTAAATATTCATGTTGTCGAACAGTCTTTTATCTTCACATTCGTTGCTAATATTAACCGTGTGACATGACGTACATGTGAAATGATCTTACATCTACTATATTCTGAGATTCTTTTAAAATGTTGGTTGGTTCATTTACGCAAATAAAGGAGACTCAAAAAATACATTAGTTTCAAGAGAAGACTTTCAAAGATCGAAAGAACGATTTCGATTACTGATTCTTATATAGAACTGAATAGAGAATAAAGAATGATCGTTGGTAACAAGAAAAATTTCTAGCTTTTATTCTTACAAAAACAAACACATACGAAAGTAATGACAATTGCTCGAATACATTTGTGATAGACTGTGTACCCGTGTGATAAAAACCGACGGTTTTACCGGTCAAGTTACCGGCTCCCATTGCTGCAATTAACCGCGGTAAACCGCTACTTTTGCTCAGTTTACCGCAGTTAATAACCAATCTTACTGGTTAGCCAGTGAGTGTTAACGGTGAACTTCTACAAACCATCAATTTTGACAATTGTAGATTTAAGACCGATGAAATCTTTATCTAGTGTTATGTATTCTCGACCAAGGAACAGATTTCACTGACTTGGTTATTAACTGAGATGGTTACCAATTTAGTTGGTTTTCTTCTCAGATGATAATCAATCATCTTTTTTTATAGTCAACTAATTAATTATAATAAAAATTTATATATTACATGTAACAGGTTATATTTGATTCGATAGTTTTCAGTTATGAATTCATTCGGCGATATTGAAATGAGGGAAATTTATCGTTGGCAAAAATGGATTTCTACGAAAATGAACTCAACTATCAGAAAGAAGTTTCTCACGAATGTTAAATATTTGATTAATCTATATGTTAAAATTAGTATCAATATTAATTGTGAATTCATACCATCGCTGAATGTGCACGAAATTTAGGATGTCTAAGAACTTTATTGAAATAATCGACAAGAATACGCTACGTGAAAAGAAACAAATTAATAAGAAAACAAAAAGAAAAGTTCAATGTATAGTTTACACAATGTTCTTCAACAATAGATTCATTAGTCAATGCAATTTGATCATTTGTTGCTGGAAAATATGGATATTCATTATTTTCATCTTGAATACTAAAAATACTTTCATAATAGACAACAGATATTTTAAATGTAAGTTCGTTGCAAAACGAATTTAATCGATTCGTTTGAGATTATCGAATAATAATTGTTGTTAGAAAAATATCAATTATTTTTAGACTAGATTCCTGCAACCTAAGCCGACTCGAAGGCCGGTTTGGGTTGAGTCGAGTGTGAAACACAATTCGAAAACGTGGGTTTTTATCGGGCTCATTTTTCTTGATACCATCTATTGCTTTTTATATACTTTTCATGACTGATGTAGAATCGATCGGTGCATATTATCTTTAAATAGCCTAGAACAGTTCCAACAATTCTTAACTAATCGCATAACTTATTGTTTTTGTATAAAATATGCACAAAACGATTAGAGTAGAGACAGATTATTGTAACTATGTAAAGTTCTACATAATATTGTCTCGAGCAATACTAAGAAATCATAACACACTTGTCCATTTCTGTTCTTTAAACGTTTCAAAAATTTTTGGCAATAATATCGAATACTGCAATGAAAATACCCTCATCACCAAATATCCATGGATCGGATTTGATCACTGTTATCACAATTAGGTTTTTTTTTAAATTTTGTATCACTATAGAAATATGTTTTCAAAAAAAAAATAGTTATACCAGGTGAACCAAAAGTTTTGTGACATTTTAGAAAAATCGATTTATTCCAAGAGAAAATAAAATAATAATATAATGGTTTAAAAGTTACAATAGAGTACTAGTAGAATCAACTATGTTCTTCCACTGAACATACTTGTCGGACGAAAACAATTTTGACTTTGTGATATTCCACGTGATTTGAGATGTTATCCCAGATTGAATAATCTAATGGATTTGATGGCCATTTTGTTTTCGGTATGAAGAATTTTGAAGTTATGTTGGCACCATTTTTGAACCTTTTAATTAATATGAGAGCTAATCCTAGCCTGTTGGAAGCCCTAGTTTTTGTGTCCAAACAGCAGATCACCTTCGTTTTTATAAAATGCTAACAATTGAATATAATAGCTTTCGTCATTTAGGCGTTCGTCTTTTTGAAAAAAAGTATGGATGTGTAAGTCCATATCATGTTACATCCAATGCAATCATGATACTCACCGGATGTTTTTCCATTTTATGCAGTCCACCGCATTTATTAGCATTAGATCGATTATCAGCCCAAACCGCGTCATTCTTTCAATTGAAAAAGCAATTTTTGGTAAATATTATTTTTTTAAATTTATCACGACTGACGTTCTTCTTCTTCCATTAGCAACATGATTTTCTTATTGGTTTTTGATCTTCTTTTAACTTTTGAACGTTAATTTTTTGATAATATTTTTTATTTAACTCAATATTGAGCAGTTGATTTTTTTTTACCAAATAGATAAGTTTTTTTGTACGATCAGTTCTTGGTCTTTCTGATTTCGACTCAACATCGACTGAACTAGATTGTTTATACTGACGTAGCCAACGATCGATCAATTCTACTTCAATGAATCTTATTTGCCAATAATTTAGCAATTTCTGGAGCCTTTTTTCCACTCTTGTAATGGGACAAAGCCACATCTCGAAGATCGTGACTTTTCACCATCTCAAAATCAACGAAAAAAAATATATCACTCTATCAGAGTGATAGAGGGCATTAGTGTGTACTTAAACTATATAAAATAAAACGATTATCTCAATAAATGAATAACAAATAGAAACTTTTCAAAATGTCACAAAAATTTTGGTTCATCCAGTATAACTACTTTTTTTTGAAAACATATTCCTATAATGCTAAAAAAAACTGATTATGATAGCAGTGATCGAATCCAATCTGTGGGAATCTGATGATGAGAAAATCTTCATTGCAGTCGATTTATTCTTTATTACATGAGTACAAACTAAATTATGATTGCACAGAGTGACACAAAACTCCGATAGCTATTAGAATATATAATCGTTTTGGTGAAGATATATTTCTATATTGACGATATACTAAAAATAAATAAAACTTATCCATATATAATACTCAGTGAGTTAGTACCCGGGTCCATTCTCTGCAATGGATCTGCTGTCCAGTACCAGACTCTATCAGAAGACACTAGACCGTAAACATCTCGAATCTTTTTTTTTATGGAAAAGATTTTGAAATACATTTTGTTTTTTAATCATTCTATTTCATACATACATGTCTAAATCACTTTTTGATTTTTTTCTTTCTTCACCCACGAAATTCATCAATGCTTTATGTAAATCTTGAAAATGCCGATAACGTTTATAAGTAATCCATTCATTAAGTCCATGCTGAGTCGTTATACAGAATCTTTAAATAATTAAAAGTATTATTTTTAATAATTTTAAGTGTTGTTTAGTTAAACCTACAAATATGGATCAACAAATGCTGTAGAACATTCATCAGTACGTTTAGTCACAATTGATTTAACATGAACTTGAACATTAGGAACAAATGCTTGTCCAGTACGACGACGTATATGTTCAATAGTAAATTTGTTACCTAAATAATAAAGAACTCAAATAGATAGAAAAGAAATATATATGTATACAAACCTCGTTGAAAACAATCATCAATAACTTCATCAAAATTATCATCAGGATATGGTAGATATTCCATACATTTTCGATCTGCATGATCAGAATCAATGGATTGTTGAGTTGTCTCGACTTTACCATGAGCCAGAACACCAATAACACCAGATTCATTATGATTTGCCATCTAAAATATTTTGTATCGATCATTAGTTTTCATATGTATTGATGCAATCAACAAAAAGAGAAAACAGATAAAACAAAAACAAAAAAACGAGAAAGAAGAACAGAATGCAGCTTCATATTTTGTTTTTGGTGAATAGAACAAAATCGAGAGAGGAAAAAATGAATGAGAAATATTTTGGCTGTACTATGTCTTTTGTTTGTCGAAAATTTTATTGTAGAATAAACGTTTGAAGAAAAAAAAACAGCAAACGAAATATAATCCATAGAAGGCTTTTTTTCTTTTTCTTCGATATATAGAAAAGAATTTCGACTGTTATTAGACTCTTGAACAGATTCATGATAAAATTAAACTTATCTAGGTAAAAAAAAAGCCGATTATCATATAAAAATGCTAATTTACCGACATGTTGTATATTTCTTTAGAGAGAAAGTAAACCACTCTAATATCTTCATTGAATATATTAAATCACAAGTTTATATTCAAGAAAACAACAAAAAATGATTGATAGAAAGTTCTTATTATGCTTTTTTTTCTTATTTTACCTGTTTATTGTTACATTTCAAAATGCTTACACAAGCATATCGAAATGTGATTTAGAATGAATGCAAAAAATACATATTATTATACGAATATGAATGCATCAATATGGGTGTAGGCTATAATACTGCATTTTTAACAACATGAGATAAAATACAGGTAATAAAGGATGAAAGAAAAAAAGATAGAAGATAAAAACAAGACAATATGCATATAGATGCACGTGGATGCATTTAATCAACAAAATCAATCCGCTTACACAGTAAAGACTCATCTCTCTCTCTTTTGTTTTCTTTTTTTCACTCTTCTCATCCGAAAGAAATGACGAAGGTGATCTTCTTTACTTTTATTGAAATCGTCATAGAAAAGAAATCTTCCGAGATCGGACCTATGTATTTGCTGCAATGGGTTGTTTTTATATATATTTTTTGTGTAAAAATCGAAGTGATCTTCATTTGTTACAGAGAACAAATTTTGTTCTCGCCCGAAAAGACAATGTGATACATCAATCTCATCCCGATTGGAAACTACTGTCTCAATATTTCTTGAAGATTTTTTGTAAGAAAAGTGAACAAAGGAAAAAGTCAAGCGCGGCGCCGAAAAATATAGACAAATGAGCATGCTCTTAATACTGATGTTAATAATGATTTTCTCTAGCTTAACTAGTGACGGGATCAGAAATAGGTGGAAGTCGTCTCAGCGCATCTGGATGTTAATGGAGCCCACCTTGGAAAGTTTATTTTGTATTGATGTTTCAATAACTGTTTTTTTATTCTAAACTGTTTCTAATACCCATCAATATTCAAAGAAAGTCTATTGATTACAATTTGTGTATCGAAATGTTCTCTGGATAAAAAGAACTCTTCAAACAACACTTGAACAATTAGTTATTTGAAGAATAAACAAGCACTGTATGAATTTTAATGAACTAATTATTATATTTGAGAACTCATGTATGATAATCGTCCTTCTGATTTAGTAAGACTATGCATGTGAATATTGTCTTCATCTTCTTTAAAACTGTCATCCACAATCCAGCAGTGTTCAGACTTCCGAAAAAGGAAATTTCGGAAGTTTCGGAAATTTTAAACACTTGTGTTCTAAATTGTTTGGTAGTTTCCAAAATTATGTAATTTCTGAAATTTCTGAAATTTCCGAAATTCTGTATCTAGCGAAATTTCTGAAATTTTCAATATTTCCAAAAACTTTCCATTTGCTTTGTTATATAGTTATCGAGCTGATAGAAGCTTCGGAAATTTTTGTAATTTCCTTTTTCGGAACTCTGAACATACCTCGTTTTCACACCGTTTTTCATCGTTTCAAAAAGTGTCCTAAAATCATCATTAGACACTTTCTAATGATCTATAATTGATTGGTCATTACGTATTTTAAAAAAAATTATATTTTTTTTTATTCAGATTCTTTTCACCATCTAGTTCAACTGGAAGTATTGTATTTGAATAAATATATTTATTTTTTATTTTTATTTAGATTTATCTCAATGAAATATTTAGTAGTATTGAATTGAAATAAATAAATATATTTTTTTTATTTAGATTTACCTTAATGAGATACAAAACATTAAGTATTTTATTTAAATAAATACATGTATTTTTTTAATTAGATATATTTCATCGATATGTTCAATAGTAAGTATTTTGCTTAAAGATATTTATTTTTGTTTAGATTTATCCCAATTAACTATTTAACAGTAAGTATTTTATTTAAATAAATAAATTTATTACTTTTTTATTTAGATTTATCTCATTAATATATTCAATAGTAAGTGTTTTGTTTAAATGAGTATTTTTTTTTTCATTTAGATTTCTCTCATTGAAATATATAATAGTGAGTATTTCGTTTAAATAAATTTATTATTATTATTTGGATTCATCGCAACGAAGTATTTAATAGTGAGTATTTCATTTAAATAAATAAATAATGTTTTTTTATTTAGATTTATCTCATTACTATATTCAATAGTAAGTATTTTGTCTAAATAAGTATATTTTTTTTCATTTAGATTCCTCTCGTTAAAGTATTCAACAGTAAGTATTGTACTTAAATAAATATATTTATTTTTTTTATTTAGACTTATCTCAATGAAATATATAGTAGTAAGTATTTTAGTTAAATAAATAAATAAATAATGTTTGTTGTGTTTACGGAAGGTGAGAAGGGGACGAAATATTGT